GCGTTACTCTGTGCTGCGCAAAACTCCGCATTTGAACAGTCAGTAGCAAATACTTAAACTAATAACAAAACATACTTGCAGTCGCTGATTCAGAAGCGCCAGATTGTCATAGCAAAGTCGGAATTATTATATATTTTTTTAAAATAGCCTTTGTGCACAGCCAGCTTTGTACTCTTCTTGGTTCAAAAAACTGTTGTCCATAAAATGCGTTGCACAAATTTGAACATCTGGGTTGTGCTGTTCTGTAATAAATCTTAACCAATGATTCCTAATTGCATCTACTTCCGGAAGGCCAAATAAAGTGCTTTTGCTTTCGCACTGAATCACACAGCGTCTCCCTGACATGGCTTTATCAACACTACTGCTGTTCCTGAAACCACGCCTTCTTTCTTTGCGTGCACGTTTGGGCGGCATTATGCTAATATTTCCACATAGTGACGTAGATATGTGGGGGCGTGTTAGAACGAGCCGTTTTAGGTAGGTGTGGCTGACTCTTAACTTTTATAAAGAATATCTCTTTGGATTTGAGACTTTAGTCTTTGCAACTTTACAGATCTTCTTTATGCACCAAGAGCTTGTAACACTCCAAAGAGAAAGGAAAACTTGAAATCGCATCATATGACCCCTTTAAAGGACAAATAAAGGCTGTTATGCAAGTCTTTTGGTCTGATCACACCACCACTTACTGCTGGTCAGTCCTGAATCAGCCCACCCTCAACTGAGCCACTCTGTCATTTGCAATAGCCTGCAAATCCCAATTGACTCATTACAAACAATACATTCCCATCCTTCAGGGATCAAGAAAGTATTGCTGTCTGGCTAGCTATCATTTAATCACTAGAAAGGCCGGATGGTTTAAGATGGATGTGTGGTTATATATTTTTTAATATTTTAAATATTATAAATTTAATATTTAAAAATTACAAATGAAAAAAGTGGGTCTTTAAGCTCTTTTATTTAAAAACATTTGTGTGCCTTTGAAACTTGAAAAGAACAGTAGAAGAGAGGCAAAGTAAATGTTTGTGGGTAATCTTGACATACTATGCTAAAATTCTTTTAAGCTATTATTATATTGTATATTAATAGAGACTGCATGTAATATTTGTTATATATATATATATATATATATATATATAAACCTACATAAAATACATATAAGAAGATAGATAGATAGATAGATAATATAATCATGTAATATAATTATAATAATATAATTTTTACTTCATTCTCAATTATCAGTGAAACTTAAAAGTTCATATTTCTCACTTTTTCTTTCTCATCAGCGTTATGTGGATGGTGGGATCAGTGATAATCTTCCCCAGTCTGAGATGAAGAACACCATCACCGTTTCTCCATTCTCAGGAGAGAGTGACATCTGTCCAAAAGACAATTCCACCAGCTTCCACGAACTGCGTTTCACAAACACCAGCATACAAGTCAATCTAGACAACATGTACAGACTGAGCAAAGCTTTGTTTCCCCCAGAGCCTAAAGTAAGAACACCAAACACATTCACATGCCTAAGTGAAGTAAGAGTGGTATGCATGAGCTGCAGTGCAGTTACACAATCACTGTCTTTATTTTGCCTTTGAGAAACCTGCTGTTAAATGCCTCATGTTTATTTGTCTGTCCTTAAGTCCAAACTGAATTATTTGCTGTCAGATTAGGATCTCACTTGACGGATCTTTCAGATAATTTCATTTATTTTATCTACCTTATTTTTCCCGTAAGAACGGGTGCGGCCATTTGTCAATTTTATGTGTCCGGCTTCCGGTCTCATCCGCTTCCAGCTATATTTAGCTGTACAAAACAGCTCGTTTTGCTGCTTGATATTGCAAACTGGTGTGTCTTACCGTATTATTTGAATGTATTATCTTAATTATGAACACACTGGTTTGTAGTGCAAACAGTTTTACCGTTTATTATTCTTCTCGTTA